TTACACCCGATTTCAAATGAGTGCGAACTCTCGAATTTTTTTTGAACGCTAAACTTTCACTCGACCGTCATTCACTCGACCGCTTGGTAACCAGGCACACGTGTTTAGTAAGTGATGCGTGACTTTCTGTAGCGGGACTTTCGCATTTAGAATTATGGAGGAAGAAGCGGTGGTCTTTGTTCGAGATACCTGTGGTCCTTGTGTTTCCCAGAACATTCTACTTCACTCAATGCAATTGAGAACAATTAGAAGAATATCAACTAAACTTGATTAAAAAATATAATTTTCTATCTGATTTGTAGTTTAAATTTGGCTTTATTAACTTGTAAACATCAAATGCATGCAAATAATACTTTGCACAATTAGGTATAGCTTTGCAAGAACCATGAACTTGAGGGTGTTGTTTTCTGCATCTTGAAAAGATATTCTTATGTTGAACTAAAATACACATTTTTCTTTTCTTTCGTTATGTAAACAATTTAAGTTTACAATAAAAAAATTATCAAGCAAGCGAAAAAATAATTGCAACATTGTTGTTTAAATTAAAGGTTGAAAACGAAGTAGCTTATGTTTAAATGTAACCTTCTTTCGAAGAAGTAAATATATTCTTATTCGTATTACTGTAAAAACCCTGATTGATTGAATACAAGTTTACAATGACACTTACATGTGTATGTACAGCAACATTTCCTGTACGTTTATAAAGTTGTCGAATTTTACAAACAAAAGTTTTCCCTACAAATAACGCTCTCGTGACAAGTTTCCTTAATGCTTGAACCGTAAATAAGTTCATGGTAAATAGCCTTCCACCGAATATCGTCCGATAACCTCTTCATTTTAATCAGTAAACTAGTAAAATCAACAAAGAACAGCCTACGAACACTAAAAGCGATTTAAAGTGCCCGCGCTTGTCAGTGTTTGTCACGCTCTTTATTTTTCAACTGTTTCGTTGTAATTGTGAGCTGAGAAAGTTAAGTAAACCGAAACTAGTTTTTACAATAAGTTCGTTTTGTAGTGCGATCACAAACCGTAGGAATTTAGCCCACAGACATACATTAACCATGGTTTTTATACTTGGATAATTTTACCCGCTTCAAGCTGTGCCAGGTTACCAAGTGGTCGAGTGAATGACGGTCGAGTGAAAGTTTAGCGTACGAAAAAAATTCGAGAGTTCGCACTCATTTGAAATCGGGTGTAAAACAGATGATACTTTTTTACCCATTCAAAGCGAACAACCGCTGCTTTAGTTGACAACAGTCTCTCATGTGCAGAGACCTCACCAAAAAGAAAAGAAAACACGAAAAAAATATTGTCATAACAATAGCTACACAAATAGCCTTCTTCACTGTTCCCTGTGCCATCTTGAAAGGTAGCCGTGCCTTTGCATCGAAGTGAGACGACCGGTGAGCGTGCAATGATAGAAACCTCCTTCACACCTACAGACAATTATTCAATGGCATCTTTCATTGCACGCTCAACGGTTGGTCTCGCTTAGATGCAAAGGCACGACTACCTTTTAAGATGGCGCACCTCACCGTGAAGGAGACTATTTGTATTTTTTCCGATTTGAGGCTAAGCCTGTATTCCCCAGAATACAACACAATACTAACACTTGTCTAAAATATAGAAATAGAAAAGAAAATGGTTATGATAATCGAGCTGGTTTGAGTTTTGTTCTATGAGTAAACCACTCGCAAAAGCGTCATGAAGCTTCACTTAACAATGATAACCGAAAAAATATAAGTCCACGTATCGCAGTAAAATCATCTCAACCTCGTTACCTAAAGTGAATGGCTATGGGAGCAATGTTGAGAAATGTATTGTGTGCTCTTACCTTCATCGTCTTTACATTCGTAAAGCTCCATTCTCAGTGCTATGTAACCAGACTTATCTTTCATTGGATGAAGTCTAACATATATTGCTGTAATGGCCGGCGTAAGTTCGTTATGAACAATGGTATTACTGTCATTGTTCCCGTGGAGGACTTGCCTATTGTTGTAATCATTGAATGTRCTTCCATTGCTGTACGAAAGTCTGTATTTCTCTGTGTAGTACATCTGCGACTGGTAAGAGGCGCCTTGTGTCTCAATACCGGTAATCTTTTGGGTAGAACAATAAAAACCAGTTGTTATAGCTCAGTGAGATTCAGAAATGGCCAGTCAAAAATGCAACTGTGACCTTCATATACCAATGTTTTTTTAGTTCGATTTGTATAAACAAGGCACCTTATTTGTGCAATTTTACCTTCGCGATCTTTCCCACATTCACTTGTATCCATTGCTCATTACATGGTAAATTCCGGTTACATCTCATCCACCATCCTCCAGGCCCATTGAGTCTTGCCTTCTTTGCTATGTGATTGTTTTCACTGGCTGTGATGTATGCATCAGGAATTGTATTCTTGCTCTTTATTCCAATGGCGACTTCAGGTTTACACTGACCTGTCGGTGATAGACGTTCATACATGATCGTTATAATTTTCTTGGTCAGTGTACTTAACGTTATCAAAGACAGACAAATACGAAAAACACGCGGCACAAGCTACTTTTTGCATTTGCTAATTTTAGTAGTAATAGTAATTTTAGTATGAAGACTGAGTTTCAAGGGTCGATGATCTTAGTGTTCTCTCAGTCACTGTAGAACTTTGAGATTGAAAATCGTACTTGTAANCCTCCCTGTGTACATTCCGTACCGCTAATAAATATATTTATACTCTATTCACTTATGAACGAGTATAAAACATTTATTACCTAAACTCCATTCAAATAATAAGACCAGACAACATAGTAGGGGCGGGCATCTCGTTTATTCATGCCCGCTTCGACGATAAAGAAAGCCATTTGGAAAATATATATGAATTTGCTTTTGCTGTGCTTGAAACTAATTCTAAACACATTTAACTTCTTCTTTTTTTTTCATTCACACTTAGCCAAACTACGTGAAACAGAAAGTAGGGAATCTATGCTATCTTTGACATAACCGTCCTTTGCGGTTTCAGACTTCCACCTGCCGTGTCTCTTGAATAATCGATCGTTGATACCGGCGTTTGCTGCGGCTGTCGCACCCCCACTTCTCAAACTATGCAAACCAAACTGCTTTTTRTCATAGCCGATRCTYTCAAAGGCAGACAAAACAATTTCTCTCGTACGAGTGTAGCTCATCCCACTAGATCTAAGCTTATAGCTATTAGACGATTTGACAAAATATAAACTGCGAAAAAATGGTTCCTCAGAAAAAAGATTAAGACTTCCAGCATGTACATATCTAKTAAGTATGGTAAAAGGACAACAATGGTCATGAGATGCGGCAAGCAGCACTTTAGCACCATCCCTGTAAATATCAGTTTTACTTTGGWCAATGTAAAGTTCAACAAAATTATCAGGCTGTCTCDTGCAGAATTTCACATCGCAGCACCGGAGGCTGGAAAGTTCGTTATAACGTAGAAACCCATTAAAGGYTGTAACACAGATCGCTGCTAATCTTAGGTCGGCCAGATTGGCACTTGGAACAGCAAACTTGGAGCAYAGTTCCGATATCATACGATAAGTAACCGGTTCTTTCTTTACAGTCGATTTACGCAACTTACGCTTGCCTGCTTCAAGAATGTGTTTGACGAGACCCGACTGGCAAGGGCTAGCATGACCATAGATATTATGCGCCCACTGAATACCATAAAAAGCCGACTCAAGTTTTGAATACRCGCARTTGTCTTCAATTAAATGCTCCAAGTACAGACCAACGCTACCACTATTAGAGGGCAAGATAGCAATTTCCTTATAATTTGACGCCCAAAACTTAAACTCATTAAATGCTCGAGAGTATCTATCAACCGTAGATGGCGCTTTAGCCTCTATAACACGTAAGGGAATTCGGCTAGCCAATCGCCGCAACTCAGGATCTTCAAACACCTTTACCAAGGAAGTACAAAATTGGGAACCCTGTGGAAATCAAAGCAATACAACATCAGATGTTTGTTTCAAATACAATCGCCCTGTGGCGAGAATGGATCCTTTCGCCTCAGGCTCTTGATGATGTATCAGACGTTAAGACCTCCATCTATTAAAAGAAAAGCTGCAGCGCTATTAAAATTTTCAGATCCAAACAGAGATTCTTTGTTAGCACCGTGTTCAAAAACATATTTTCCCTCTTCNCGTTGTGGTCTTTTTTTCAAATTTACACGATAGCTTGCAGGATACTAAAACAGGTAAACCACTCGGTATTGTGAAATACGAGTTGATCAATAGTCAATTTGGCCAAGTACGGTCTTGTGGACTATCAACTTTTATAAAATAACTTGGATACTACGCGCGTTCTGATTGGCCGACTACCGTGTTTGTATCAGAGTATGTAGACATGGTTTTGAGGTCACCATTTTTTGTCAAGAGCGATTCAAAACTAGAAGTAGAATAGGAAAAAAATCAGCTATTTATACAATAACGTATCCGAAAACTTGGCAACAACTAGTTATGAGTATTCTGCATAAAGTTTTTTACTATTTCTTGTAGGTTTTGAGTGCATAGAATCTTCGGTATAAACTATAGATAAACAAAGCAACTTGAAACTGGTAGTAAAAAATTGAGGAATTTAGTGAGTATTTTGCATTTTATTGAGATAAGTTACTACATAAGAAAAGTAGTACAAGAATTTGTCGATTTCCGCTTGAGAATCGAGACTTCTTTCAGTTTAACGATTGTTCATAATAATGAGTCTCTTTATAAATTCGTTACCTACTAGTACACGATAAACAAGCTACTAGTTTAACCTAAAAACATGAGTACCAGCTTATTTATTAAACGGAATTTATCAGAGCAAGGTCTTTATTTGTAGCTTTGGGAATTTTTTCGTACGGTTTGTTGTCATTGCAGTTCTTGCATCGCTCGCATAAAATTATCTTCAGTTTGATATTGTTACTAGATAACAGTTCAATAAAAAATCTGTATGAAAATGAATTCCACCTTCTTATCCATGAAACGGAGTTCATACGACCAATGGATTCATGTGTTATTTGTGGTTTTGTGAATTTTTTCGTCGGTGATGCTGAAGTGCCGGCACGTCGAAGTGGCTAATCAAACATCATTTAAAGTGTCAAAACAAAGTCTTTCAGCAAGTATGTTATAAACAATATTCATAGCTTGCCAATTGACGTCTTCAGTGAACAAATAACTTAGCAAACTATCAAAACTGTTTCAAAGTTCGATTGACAATCCTATTCATTGTCCATCTAAAATGATACCTTTTTTGTTTATTTTGTAAGCGTTAATTAAAGTTTTGAATTGGAAAGTTTGCTATGAATCGAATACCCAGAAAAGAGAGTTTTAAGGCATATTATATTTACCAAGCTATTATTTTATTCTCATTACTTCAACGTGTTGTATAACAATTAAAATTAGAAATTGTTCTTTCCGTATAACATAAAAAGCATCTCATATCATTTTTTTCTGTGCCTTTCTCTCATATCTTTTTTACCTCTTCGACGCGCAATATCGCGTCTTGTGGTCGAATCTCCACCAATGAGAACGGAGGAAAATTTTTTGTTGAATCAATTATAATACATTATAGGTCATGTGTCAAATTTAAAAAAATTATCATGGAGATCGCTTTGGTAAAACTAGGTTGAGTAATTTTGAAATATGTGAATATAGGCAAATACGAATTTTCGTGAGTTAAGCTTAATTATTGGAGCTAATAGTATTTAATAGTACAATTCCTATTTCACAGACAGATGAAAATGACTCTAATGGGCATTTCCACTCTTAGCCAAGATATTTCCTCTTGGAGTTATCAAAACAGATAATACTTTTTTACCCGTTCAATGCGAGCAACCGCTGCTTTAGTTGACAACAGTCTCTCATGTGCAGAGACCTTACCAAAAACAAAAGAAATCACGAAAAAATGTTGTCATTACAATAGCCCTATAAATTCGTATTTTCTCCGATTTGAGGCTAAGCCTGTATTCCCCAGAATACAACACAACAATCTAACACTAAAATATAGAAATAGAAAAGAAAATGGTTATGATAATCGATCGAGCTGGTTTGAGTTTTGTTCTTCTGTAAACCACTCGCAAAGTCGTCATGAAGCATCACTTAACATTGATGGTTTAATAAAGGTACATATGTTCTATAGTAAATATGCTGACAGGTCATCTCTTAAGTTGAGGAAGACTACAAACTTCAATTTCAAGGCGTGACTTTGTGTTTCAAGTTTCAGTTGAGTCATCATAAGATTAAGTTATGGTGGCTTATGGTGACTTTGTGTTTCAAGTTTCAGTTGAGTCATCATAAGATTAAGTTATGGTGGCCCTTTGTCTCGTCTGCCGTGTCACTGTATGGCCCGAGTATGAACAAGGGAAGCAAACGGCAAAGGAATGCAAGAAGGTGCTAATTGTGCATTGTATAATCCATCCATCCCATTGGTTTAAACAAGAAAATCTGCTATAATTTCATAAGTTAGCGCATTTTCTAATATTTTATTTATTATCTGATTCTGACTTCATGAAAGCTTTCTTTAGCTACAATATTAAGGCAATTCTATGTAGGGAACATAGCAAATTAGAAGCTTCTTTTGGCTATTGTTTTGAGTGCTTATGATTGGATAAGAGGTTTTAATACAAAAGAAACTTTGTTTCAAAATAGAGTTTATCCACATTTTATTTCCAAAATGTGTTACCCATAGGTTGATATATAATCAGTGTGAAAACCAAGACATTCGTATGTGGGGAAGTTGCAATGCCGAAGAACAATAGGGAGCTAGTTCCCTAGTTCTTAAGCGGATTGTTACTTTTAAGAACGCTTTTATATCCGCAGTAGTTTATGAAGACTAAATGCACAATTGCAGAGTCTCCTTGACTGAGTGGATATTATGCCATACAAGTTCTGATCACATGTTATTTCGATCCATCGTAGGCCTCCTTATATGGGCAGCCGTACAGTTCAAACCTCATGGCGATATAATCTTCCCATTTTATTGGTACAATACGAACTATTTGTGCGATTATTGGGGGGAGGATGACATTGTAGACGATACTGTTGCGGTCAAAATTTCCATCGAATTCTACTGGTTTACCATCATCAAGGCTGTAATCATTGAGGTTGTCATTAGTGACATTTCTGTACTTAAGACGATATTTTTTCACCCAAGCTTTGTGTTTTCGTCCCTGTGTTGCAATGCCGTTTATCGTTTTTATTTGATTGAAATTGATCTGAAGCCATTGGTTGTCGTTTTCATCATATGCAATCCACGCGCTAAAATGATTTAGTCTTGCTTCTGCTGGTGGAAAATTTGTGTGTGAAGATGAAGCTGTAATTTGGGTTTCTGAAATCATTCCGCTTTCCATCCCAAGCGCATACGAACATATTGCTGTGGAAGAAAAGAAACATTTTCATAGTACTCTTAAAGTTTACAATACACATCACATTCAGAATGACAAAGTGATCGTTAATTGGTGAGTTTAATCATTAATGGGCATTTTCACTCTTTGCCAAGATATTTGTAGTATTTTTATTCAAATTTCCTCTTGGAGTTATTAAAACAGATAATACTTAGTTGACAACAGTCTCTCATGGTTGTACTAACACGCATACTTGGGTTCATACAAAGCACACTTTATTGTAAGCACGTGACTGTGACGTCATTGTTGTACATGCATATACTTAATATCATTACATCCCCCTTTTTCTACTATGAAATTACAATAGCGATGAAATCACTAAGTATAATACGTATAATCAAGAAGTTTGCACAAATAAAATTTCAACATATATAACGTTCAGCGTCAGTCACTTTACATAATCTTCAAATCTCTTTGGTGGTTTTACGCTCCATTAGACTGTGGTATGGGCATTGGTGCCTCAACTGTTTCCGGTTCATCATAAGACTGTATGTTGCTAGTGACATTGTTAGCTGAGTCTGGCTCTTCAACATAGACTGCATCATCAAGTGGTTTTGGCTCTTCTGTCTTTAGAAGATGTTTGCGGATTCGTCTAAATGTACCTTTCTCGGTTTGGACTAGGTATGAACGTGGCTCAGGCAATTTCTGTAGCACTTCTGCCGGTTTCCACTTCTTATCTTGTTGTATCCTAACTGTATCTCCTTCCTTTAAGGGCTCCAAGGGTTTTGCTGACTTGTCATGATAAAACTTCTGTTTGCTTTGTCTGTCTTTCAGCTTCGCAAGTGTCTCTTGTTGGTCATACCTTTGTGGAATAAGAGTCTCGGTTGTCTGAGGAACTGTTGTTCTCAATCTTCGTCCCATTAACATCTGTGCAGGTGATAAGTTTACTCCATCAATTGGTGTATTTCTGTATGACAGTAGTGCAGTATCAACGTCTTTTGCTTTCTTTAGCATGGCCTTCACTGTTCTGACTGTCCTCTCTGCTTGTCCATTAGACTTTGGGTATTCTGGACTGGATGTGATATGTTTAATGTTCCATTCTTCTGTAAATTCCTTGAACTCTTTAGAGGCATAGCANGAAATATGTGATGATCCGACAATCAAACAACTTTGTGTATTCTTGCATTTAAAATACAAGTAGTACAATGTAAGCCTTTGATACTGATAGATAGAAACTGGTGGCGCAACTGGCATCTTCTTAGCTTGGATTTGTTTGCTCTGAACTATCAGTACGCGAGCCATTAACCAGATGAAAGTGACGTTCCCTTTAAGAATAGTTTTGTTGTTGTATATTTCTAAGAACTCGTGAATTCAACTCTAAGAGTTGCTCAAATTATAAAAATAGAAAAGAAAATGGTTATGAAAATCCAGATGGTTTAAGTTTTTTTTCTATTGCAAACCACTCGCAAAGTCGACACGAATCATCACATAATCTCAACAGTGAACCGAAAATTTATTGATTTATTCCTAGGCTCCGGGTATCAGGTGAAGTAAAGAAATGTCAACGTCTGGATTTCCTAAAGACTGGGTTTTCTAAAGAGCATACCTATGGGAGCAATGTTGCGAAATGTATTGTGTGCACTAACCTTCATCGTCTTTACATTCGTAAAGCTCCATTCTCAATCCCACACAGCCAGATTTGTCATTGTATTTCATGGGATGAACTCGTACATATCTTGCTGTAATGGCTGGCGTTAGTTCGTTATATACAATGGGTTTATTGTCATTGTTCCCTTGGAGGGCTTGTCTGTTGTTGTAATCAATGAATGTACTTCCATTGCTGTAGGAAAGTCTGTATTTCTCTGTGTAGCACGACTGGTAAGCGGCGCCTTGGGTCTCAATACCGGTAATCTTTTGTGTAGAACAATAAAARTCAGTTGTTATAGCTCAGTGAGATTCAGAAATGGCCAGTCAAAAWTGCAACTGTGACCTTCATATACAAATGTTTTTTAGTTCGATTTGTATAAACAAGGCACCTTATTTGTGCATTTTTACCTTCGCGATCTTTCCCACATTCACTTGTATCCATTGATYAYTACATGGTGTATTCTTTTTACAGTACCAACCACCATTACCATTGAGTCTTGCCCTCTTTGCCAAGTCTTTGTTTTTACTGGCTGTGATATATGCATCAGGAATAATATCCGTACTCTGTATTCCAATGGCAGCTTCTTCTTTACACTGACCTGTCGATGATAGAAGTTCAAACATGACCATTAACAACACAGGTAGCCCAAGCTCAATAATTGTGTCGATTTACTATATATATGTGACCTCTGATAGAAACCTCCGATTCGTATGCATTTCATTCTTGTTATTTTATGCAAGAAATGGAGGTTTAATAAAGTACATATATTCTACAGTAAATAAACTGACAGGTCATTACTGTGAAGAAGACTACAAACTTCAATTTCAAACGAGACTTTGTGTTCAACTCTCAGTTGAATCCTTAATGATAATAATAATAATCAATTTATTATGGCATATTACAGAGTTTCTATGCTTCACAATAATTAAAAAATCAAAACACTATATTTACAACAAGAGAGAGAGAGAGAGAGAGAAAAGAAATTAACTAATTTTAGCCAAAATGCTCTTGGAAAAGATAAGTTTTAAGTCTGGTTTTAAAGTCAGTGAGCGAGTCCGCATCACGCACATGTTGTGGGAGGGCGTTCCAGGCACGTGGCGCAGCCACTGCAAATGATCTTTCGCCATATGTTTTCGTGCGAGATTTTGGTACCGCAAGTAGGTTTTTGCTGCCAGAACGAAGACATCTGGAGGGATTGTGCCTCCTTAGGAGGGCCGTAATGTATTGCGGAGCCTGATTGTTAAGTGCTTTGAAGGCGATCACTAAGGTCTTAAAGTGAATCCGAGACTTAACTGGCAACCAAT